ACTTCTACGCTACGCTACGTACACGTTCGTGGGTAACCGCGCTCTTAACCTAAAATTTCATATTTGGTATAAATAAGGGTACAAACGGTAAGAGCAGGATGCAGATTTTGAACTCCAGTGATCTTACTCAAATCATTGAACCGCTTTACTTTATCAGACCCTTGTTGCAAAAAAACTTTGCTTTAGTATTAATTAAAACGCAAAGGCCCCTATTATGAGTTGCATTCGATTCGATAGCCAGCGAAGATCGAAAGTGAAATTCGTATTATGAGCTATGCAAGCGTATCGAAATTTTCGTTGAGTATCGAATTTTCTGTTGAACAGAATTTTGCTATCGTTGGTGTAGCGGAGTGTTAAAAAATTTTAAAAATGTATGATTTTGCATTTATTTTCTTACTTTTTGGCGGCTAGACACTAATTTTAAACAATTTGTATTATATTCAAGCAGTTCTAACGTCGTGAATAGTAAACAAAAGCGCGAAAGTCTGGTTTTACATATGAAAGAAAATCCCTATACGCTATTGGCACGATCTCTGAAAACAAAAACATGGAGCTGTTTATAGTTTTAATATATTTTAAATAGATTTGGATCACAAAATTTCTTAAATATATTGTATGTCAAAATATATTCGAAATACTGCACTTAAACTGTCACGTTTTTTGCTCCTAGCCAGTTTTCTAAGCCCTCATCCTCTGACGAATCGTTCAACCAGAACTCCGTTGTGCTAATTAAATTTTTTTTTACCACGCTTTTATAAACTCGCTTTCGTTTTTATTTCATTTTAGGTGCAATCCCGTATTCCTCGGACTCGGACTAGTAAAACTATCAAAAAATTAAAATTCGCTCAGAGCGAGAGGGTAACATTGAAATGTACGAGATCACTTTCTAGTAAAAAATGGTAACTTCTGTCAACTTCAACATAACTTCCAAATTTCGGTTGTAAATTTTTGCTTATTTTGTATGTAAACACATCCAGCTCACACATGTAAATAACCAAAAATACTTTCAAATTCATTAGAATCTACTTAAACAAGTAATTAAATACTTTTCAACATGAATTAGCAGAGTGCACTTTTCTTTTGTTTACAATTTGGTTGCCAAACACACTACAGCTGATCGTTTGACACATTTACCAGAATTTACCAGCAAAAAATTCTCGGACTAAAACTGGTAACTTCTGACAGA